CTTCCCCTTCCCCTTCCCCTTCCCCTTCCCCTTCCTTTAAAAAAAAAAGTATTGGCAAGTAATATACGTAAAGTCTATTTAGATATACTTTGAATAAATTAGTTCAAAATATTTTGGAAGTCCAACAGGTATGAAAGATAGAAAAAAGAAAAAAATATGTAGGTATAATTGACTTTATAGTTATAATTAAGGCAAAAATAAAAAATAATTATTTTTTTCAAAAATAATGACATTTATAAGTAATAATAGTATATATAGATATTTAATAGATATAGATATATGTATAAGCATATATAAATTTTAAAATATGATTTTTCTATGGATTGTTTAATTATGAAATATTTAAAATTAAGGAGATTTAATTTTGTTTGATTTTTAAATTGCGTATTTGATTTTGTTTGGATTTTAAATTTTGAATTGCGTAGATAATAGGGTATTTTCGTCTTTACATAAATAAATGTCCTTAAAATCCAAAAAAAATCTGTTTGGATGTTTTTGTCCTAAAAATCCAAAACATTATTGCGGCTTTCAAAAATCCCTTACATTTTTAACAATTTTTGCAATATAGAGCTAACATGATGGGCATAGCGTAGGACAGGTCGACGGGCCTGGCAGGTAAGAAATCACGACCGTACCTTTAAAAGTAGGGTTTTTTTAGGCGTGGGTATAATATTTTAAATTTATTTAAATAAAAGTATATGGATAAATTATTTATTCTATTAAATATAATTTTTATAAATTTTTTTGTGTTTAGGTACAAAATTTAAATGAATTAAAATTTTTTTACTTAAACACTCTTCCTTAATTTGTGCAGTCATCATTAACAGTTATTTGAGGAAACAACACTCTTCCTTAATTTATGTAGTCATTATTGACAATTATTTGAGAAAACAAATATGTAAATATTATATATTTGTTATCTTTAATTTTTGAATTTTGAATAAGCAGTTTTGTATGCAGTAAAAGTTTGTATTCAACTGATATCTGCAGTAAGACAAAAAATTTATGCAGTAACACAAAAAGTCTTCAACAGTCTCTGCAGTTTGTTAAAAAAAAAAATGATCTTTGCATTAAGAGTCTTCTTTAATGTTTGTGTTCATCTGATCTCAACAGTAAGAGTCTTATTCAAAAGTCGATTTACTTCTCCGATGGTGGATTTATTCGAAAAAAGAAATTGTAAATACCAATCACCGTCTAGAATTGTTTTTAATGGGTGTAACTATTGTTTTGGTATAGACATTAATGAATGTTTTTGAAAAAAGGTTACTATATAACTGTTTGTTAATTAATTTATTTTATCCTCATGTTATGAAGCAAAAATTGTTTTATGTTGTTTGTTGTTCGGATGAACGAAAAAAAAAAAATTGTTTTGGTTTTTAATGGGTTCAACTGTTTTTTTAATCAGAATTATGTTTTAATGTAACTGCTCTTGTATGCAATTTTTTAGCCAATATCTATATTGACAAATACTATATATTATAACTATTTTTTGTTTTATCTTTTTCTCCCAATTTGTGATTACAAATAATTACTTAAAACAATTACGTAACTATTTTTAATCAAAAAATCAAACAACACATATTGTGGAAAAAAAAATAATGAATGACAAAAAAACAAAAATGAATGTCACTTGCAATTTCGATGAAAAAATTGCCAAAGATGGTTCACAATTACTGGACCGTGGAACATCATAAACAATAATTTGTATTCTTCTTATTTTGGACGATGAACAGTAACTCGTATTCCTCTTTATTTTGGAAAATGAACAGTAACTCGGGTTCTTTTTTTTTTTGGACGATAAACAGTCATAGTTCTGGCATTCCAATTCCTCTTCAGAAAAAGATGAATTTTGATAATTAAACCCCCTATTTTACCTCTCACTTTATTTTAGCCAAAAAAACGGATGGAAGATGATTAATTTCCATATATTTACTATTTACCTATGACAATAATGGTATTTTAAAAAAAATATGTACTTTACCCAAAAAAAAATTTTGAAATATACTTTTGCCTAAATAAATCTAAAAAATTCAACCAACTTCTAAATTGCCCGTAAAAGTAGCAGGATGGGCTGACCATAGTCCAGTAAATCAAGGAAATAATGGGCATCCATGGGCCTCTTTATTTCTGCCAAGGCCTACCAATAGATGCACCACCAATCGGCTTTCTAGTCTGATGGCACGATCGCGTTGGTACTGGAACATTCTAGAGAGAGAGAGAGACCACATGAACGTCCACAGAAATTAAACCGAAACCGCCTATATTGACCCCTAATCCCTCCTCCTATTCCGTCAACAACTCCTCAATTTCCTCTATAAATTGAAACCCTTCCCTGCTCTCTTCCTCTTATAATCAAATCTTTCTCAGATCTCAGTCGTCACTTCTTTTCTCTCTCTTTGCAGTTAATATCTCTTTTCTTGTTTTTAGATTCCTAACAGTTCGATCAAGATGCAGATCTTTGTGAAAACCCTAACCGGTAAGACCATAACTCTCGAGGTCGAAAGTTCTGATACCATCGACAACGTCAAGGCGAAGATCCAAGACAAAGAGGGAATTCCTCCTGATCAACAGCGTCTGATCTTCGCCGGAAAGCAATTGGAAGATCGAACTCTTGCCGATTACAACATCCAAGGAATCCACTCTTCACCTGGTACTCCGACTTCGGTGGGATGCAGATCTTTGTCAAAACCCTAACCGGCAAGACGATCACGTTGGAGGTCGAAAGCTCTGATACCATCGACAACGTCAAGGCCAAGATCCAAGATAAGGAGGGAATTCCTCCAGATCAACAGAGGTTGATCTTGCCGGGAAGCAATTAGAGGACGGTCGTACTCTTGCCGATTACAACATCCAGAAGGAATCGACCCTTCATCTGGTTTTGAGGCTTCGCGGTGGAATGCAAATATTCGTGAAGACCCTTACCGGGAAGACAATAACTTTGGAGGTTGAAAGCTCCGATACCATTGACAACGTCAAGGCCAAGATTCAAGATAAGGAAGGTATTCCTCCGGATCAACAGAGGCTGATCTTCGCAGGAAAGCAATTGGAGGATGGAAGGACCCTCGCCGATTACAACATTCAGAAAGAGTCCACACTCCATCTCGTCCTCCGTCTGCGCGGTGGTATGCAGATCTTCGTCAAGACTTTGACCGGAAAAACCATCACCCTTGAGGTCGAGAGTTCTGATACAATTGATAACGTCAAGGCAAAAATTCAAGACAAGGAGGGCATCCCACCGGACCAACAGAGGTTGATCTTTGCCGGGAAACAACTTGAGGACGGTCGCACTCTCGCAGACTACAATATTCAGAAGGAATCGACCCTTCATCTGGTGTTGCGCTTGAGGGGAGGAATGCAGATTTTTGTTAAGACTCTGACTGGAAAGACTATAACTTTGGAGGTGGAGAGTTCTGATACGATCGATAATGTGAAGGCGAAGATTCAGGACAAGGAGGGGATTCCACCGGATCAGCAGAGGCTCATCTTTGCTGGGAAGCAACTTGAAGATGGGCGCACTCTTGCTGATTACAACATCCAGAAGGAGTCAACCCTGCACCTTGTCCTCCGTCTCCGTGGTGGTGATTCCTGAACAAGCTTTCGATTGTATTGATGGGGTGTTTGCTCTTTTTCAACATTGAAATAATTTCTTTGGCTTCTTTAGGTACATTAGGAAACTGTGAAATCTTTCCTCTTTTTTTATGTCTCGGTGCTTTTTTATTCGAATAAAATTGTGAAGTTTGCATATTATATCCCAATTGTCTGCTTGATTCGTTTTCTGCATCTAAATTAAATGCTCTTATTTCGTTTGTTTGTTTAGCAAGTTGGAAATTTTCTTATTTTTTTGTTTTGTGTGGCTGGCTGAGAAATTTTTGGGAGATGGTATATTGTGGGCTTGGCTGCATGACTTACAGTACCTTAACTAAGAATAAACCCTTTGTTTTCTTTAGAGCATATGCTTGATGGTGTGTGGTAAAGGTAGATTGGTGTAGATTTGATGCTACTTCTGATACGACATTGTAATTGGTATGTCGTTTTGTTCAATGCTGGATAGGTTGTCTTTGTATCTCTCTCTGATTCAATTTCTATACAAGTTTTTTTTTACTTTATTCCCCATATATGGCCCTTTGAAATTTATTTCCCACACTACCATTGTTCATAAAAATTTGTTTTTTTAATCCACGATTTGGAGTACATGTTTGCAAATCACGTTTTCAGAAGCGATATCTTCAGAAAAAAATTTCTAGTGTTCTCTCCTTGCGGAATGTTTTGCAGAAGGATATGGAGTCCAGAAGAGCTGTTGATCAAAATGGTATAGTTTTGATCCAAAAGATGCCGTCGTTCTGTTTTAATCAACGGCATGGGATTCTCAGTCAAGGTTAGGAAGTATTTTATCTCCATACTGTCTGGACTCTCCAGAAAATATGTTAAATCACTTTTAGATTATCTGGAAAGTCCACTGGTCAAATCTTATGCGTGGTTAGAAGGGATGAAGGTTTCCTTGTTGGGGGGAAAGCATGGTCAGGTTGCAACACTAGGAAAGATTTATGTTGGTACTTGCTAAATGCTAATGATGGGTGGTTTACATCATCGAAAAATATTGTTTGGTTGATGCTTAGCTGAGCAAGAATACATTTATCTTACGATTGAAGGTTCTAAAACACCCGAACAAGAATATGATAATGAAAAATAATTCATGTTAATTTGATTTATTTGTAGTCTCGGATGATGAAGATAATAACCTGAAGTAGTAGTAGTGCATATGTATGAAAATTTTACTTACGTTTTTATTGGATGAAACAAAGAGATTGCGTTCCTAAAATCTTTTTTTAAGCCGCCCATGTTTCTTGATCTTTCTGAGCTATTCTATTGTATGGGATTAGCAGTAGATTCTATGGGCACCTATGAATGAAAATCTGAGCTACTCACGAGGGGCTATCGAAAAATACATGGTGCTATTTCTTTTGAGACTTCCAAATTCCCATTGCTTGGCAATTTCATCATTATTGCCCACTGGCATCGTGTAGAATGGTTGAGTTTTTCTCAAATGAGAAATCTGCTGATTGCATCTCAATTTCATGCTGTGAGGGATGAGTTTCTGGGCCTGAACGTTTCTCTCTTGACTCCTCTCCTTCCGGTAGATCCTGGTTTCCGTGGTGGCTGCGACACCATTGTCCATTCTCATGCCGGCGTGAGGATGAAGCCGATCCCTCAGCATTGGGAATCCTAGAAGACAGTGAAACACTTTCGACTTTGTTTCCGTGCGAAAGAAGTAGATGAACTGGAGACATGGCATGCAGTGGAGTGCTTGGGCGGCTTGGCAATGGGGATCCAGAACCTGCCTGACGGTTCTGTTTTATGTGTTTCTTTGCATTTTGGTGCCAACTATGTAGAGCCTTGGCCACTCTCTCGTCGAAGATGGTTGGCTTCATGGTTGAACCCATCTACTTGATGTCAACAAAGGAAAAAAAAAAACAATTTAAACTGTTATATATATAGTTAACACAGACACACAAAAAAAAATATGTATAGAAGTTTTTTGATCAACCTGTGTCACCAAAGCATAGAGAGGAAGAGTCACATAGCTGCAAAGTATCTGTATGAGGACACTGACAATATAACAACCATTATTGCTGTCAGTAAGGCTATTCATATCATCTTAACCATTCACCTAAGTGGCAATTACAGCTGCAATAAGCCGATCAGTTTATGAATAGCTTTGGATCGATTTGGATACAAGCTTGTTCAAGTTTGTTCAGAATTGAGCTTGAGTTTAAGTTTAAAAATCATTTAACAAACGAGCGAGTTCAAGCAATGACCTTGGCTCGTGAACATATATGTATGACACAAACACAAGCTGAGTTGAGTTTGAAGAAAATGTTTGAAATTTGGGATGATTCCGAACAATCTTTGTAACGAACTAGCAAAAATCCAAACACTTTAGTACTGGGCTCTATTGGTAAGTCGATGTATATAATTTATAGACTAATGAAGACACTGACCCCATTGAGATCCTGATGACCACATCTACTCTTCTCTCGTGGAAGCAAGATCGTACGCCAAATTCATACTACAAAACAGTGTTCAGAAAATCGATTGTCACCTATTATAAGGAAGAGACGTATAGACCTTAGATTGATTCATATGTAACCATTGATTGTGAAATTATAATATGAAGTAAAATATATAATAAACTATGAAAACTTTACTTATTTATTATGTTTTTATTGGATAAAAGTGAAAGAATGGTAACATGGATATAAAAACATTGATCTAAAAACCAATGGCTTACCCAAGTCCATGCAAAGAAGGCCAGCTGAAATGCATTCTGTATATATGGGTAAAGACAGATATCATAAACCACTGTTAGTTATAAAAATGATGAGATACATGGAAAGCATATAATGATGGGGATGGATTTATGAGTAGTTTGATAATTCGTACAAATTTATATAATAAAACATGATTCATTTTAAATTCTTTAATTTAACTTAATGATATTCCATTAAAATTAAAAATTTCACTCGCCCCATACCATTTAAATGATAGGACAAAGTTGATTTTGAATTGTCTACTTAAAAAAGAGGAAGAAAAAATAAATTATTAATTCATATATTTGTACCACACAATTGATATTTAATTTGTTTTGTGTTATCCAGTGCCGTTAGACACGAGTTATTGCTAATTATTTGATATAAATTCAAATCTAACGGCTTTAAATCATAATCAAGTTAATTGGTAATATTCGTTTAATATGTAAATCGTGTTTTCTTGTTATATAAGATTTCGTAATATTTTGAATGAGTAGGATATGTAATGAGTAACCTTTAACTTGACACAACTTGGATAAAACATGAAGCTAACATAGTACAATCCGTTGCTAGTCCTACATTAGGTACAGAATAGTACCTGAAAGAGAACAAAATTGATGAGGTAGAGCAAGAGGTGAGGGCGGTTGAACCAGAAGAGGTCGTCTCCTGGCTGAACAACTAAGCTTCCTCTAACCACCTCTCCTTTGTCTTGAATCCTCAAACCCATCTTGGTTATGATAACCTGTAGCTTTGTACCCACTAACAGGATGACCTGCACAACCCCCATCAACTGTTTAGATCTATTTTTGCAGCATCCGTAGATATACAGAGAACTGGGCCCGACAATTGTGTCGAAGGGAACGGTTTTGTGTTGGGTGAAACGAGTTTGTGTTAAAAAAATTTTCATCTATATTTCATTCGTTTATATAAACGGGTCCAACTATCATGCCTATACATGAATCGTTTATTAGACGGGTTACCCAATACAACTCGTGTGTCACCCACTAATTAAGAGAATATGTTAAAGTATTTTGAGTCCACAAGAAAAATCATCAACTCGTCACACATTACACATGTTTGACATGTTTACTATAACAATAAATCATGGTTAAACAAAAAAATAAGCGTTAAATAACAACTAAATTTGAATGAATCTAAGAGATGGAAAGTGTGAGATGAGGCAGAGGCTGAAAGACCTAACTTTTATAATATCACTGTTAACTGGTTAAACAAATTGAAACGAATTTATGAGTTAAACACGAAATCAATTCGTTTATTTTACGAGTTTGCTGAGTTAATCTGTTAACCACTTGAAATTGTTAAGATTACACTCAAATCCACTAAATCCGTGTTAGATTCGTGTCAATTTTACGAATTGTGTCTAAAATTATCAGACCTGCAGAGAACAATCCAATTCATGGGTCTTTGGTTATCATGGGGCTCGGGCAGGGCCGGCCCAAGGCATAAGCCACTTAGGTGGCTACCTAGGGCCCCTAATATTTTGGGGCTCCAAATATCTTGAATTGAAGACTTTTTATAATAGAGTAATGGCCTATTGAAATTATAAAAGAGATTCCTACTATTACATTACACAATGATCCATTGCAAAAAGAGGACCCAACAACTATTCTATTACTTTTAATAATCTCTTTCAATGTGTCAGACATCTGATAAAAAAATATGTTAAAACACATGTGAGTTCTCTCTCTCTCTCTCTCTCTCTCCCACACACACACACACACAAACACATACAATGTAAGTGATTGTTATTGTTAATATTAAAGAAGAAATAACTGGAGTACTAAAAAAAAAATTATCAACAAGAAAAATATTCTTAAATAGAAATCATACTATTCCTTTAATCCAATATAGGTTTTAAAATATTAAAAATAGATAAAATGTTTTTAACTCTTAACTTAGTTTTAAAAGATTAAATTCTTTATGTGATGAAAGTTTTGAAAAAATATGGTCTTAAACTTGACATTTTTTTAAACGTGATTTATTTTATATTTTAATTTATTTTTATGAAAAAGTCTTAAGAACTTTCATATGTAGACACTATACATGGCAACAACGATATAATGATACATAAAAATATTAGATTCTTTTTCAAATGCCTCAATTGCTTATTGAATATTGTAAATAATGTCTTTATGAGTTTATTCTACTTGAAGAACAGTTTTTGAATTATAAATTAATAAAATTTTATCTACAATCAATTATGTTATCAGAAAAAGTGTAGAGATTAGCTATATTATCTATTGAAAATTGTTTATTATTAAAATAAAAATTTAAAAGCCTGAAATATTTTAGCATCTCAAAAAATAAATAATATTTATTAAATGTTATTATTTAATATTATGTATATAAGTATATTTATATATATATATATATATTATGTATATTAATCAATATATATATATATATATATATATATATATATATATATATATATATATATATATAATGGGGTCTTATTTAACATGGGTAAATTGTAAGGGTACACAAAATTAGACTTATTTGGTAAAAAGTACACACTAAAAAATGTATGGTTACTAAATCCTTAATTTTGATACTTATTTCTATGTAAGTACACAATTTGAATTTGCCTAATTTTTTTGTGACATTTTAGTCCTCCATTGATCCATGTGTATGTTCTTTAGAAAGTGGAGTATTAAATATTTCCTAGTTTTATGGGAGAATTTTATTATTTAATGCACATTGATTCATGTGTATTTGTTACTATATATATATATATATACGTGCAAAGTATAACATTGAAAGTGTAAAGTGTAAAATATTATCTTATGTCTGACCTTTCTTAATGGAAAATGTAAAATGTTATAAGGTAATATTAAAAGTAACAATAACAGTGTAACAATAACAATGTAACAAGCTATTTACACAAGATAAGGGAGACATTAGCTAAAGTGTTACACAAACAGAATATACATGTCTCATCTTACACTAAAAATGCTAATTAATTGAAAAAGTGTGAAAATGTTACACTTTCAATGTTAATATGTAACATTTTACACTTTCCATTAAGTAAGGTGAGACATAAGTTAATACTTTACACTTTCCACTTTCCACTTTCCATTTTCAATGTTACACTTTACACGTATATACATACTTATATATATGTATATAAATATAATATGCGTATATAAATACATACATATAAATATATATATATATACACAAGTATAAATATAAATATATATACGTATAAATAAATAAATAAATATATATATATATACATACGTATTTATATATACTTGTTTATACGTATTTATATATACTTGTTTGTATATATATTTATTAACAAATACACATGAATCAATGTGGATTAACTATATTAAAGTTCTCCTATAAAACTATGAGATATTTAATGCACCACTTTCCCTAAAATGAACATTTATGTCTTTGTATCTAACTAGTGTACCTTTTTTCAAAATATTTTTTAATATGTATTTTTTGTTAAATAAATCTAATTACGTATACCGACTTTCAAAAACCCCATTTAACATTCCGCCTAGGGCCCTAATAATGTTGGGCCGCCCCAGGGCTCAGGAGGCTGCTTTAGTATCTACACAATCTTTTCGAATGCAGAGATACCGAAAAATACGAGGTATGGAAACGTTACTTACAATCAATGGGATGAAGGGTAACCACAAATAGGATTTCCAGCCTGCCAAAAAAAGAAAAAAAGAAAAAAAATAGTACATGTTTGAGTTGAAGCATTAAGAATTTTGCTTAGGCTATGGAACTAAAAAGTGGTCATATAATTAACTATTGACAATCTAAAATAAAAGAAAATGATTCAAAAAAAGATTTTTTCGCAAGAAATTTCGAAGGAAAAATGCATTCACAATTGTCTTGAAGGCTAAAAATTACAATAGAAATGTTTACATAGGCTATCATACTAAATATAATCACATAATGAACCTTGTTACTTTGAAATAAAAGAAAAATGATTGAAAAATCAGAAATTTTCACTAGAATTTCTCAAGAATGATTTGTATCGACATTTTGAAAATATTATGATATTAATATTAATGGGCGGCACATGCATGTCGCGCCATTCTGGTTGATTTTCTCGTTTTTTTTTTGTATTTTTATAGCAAGGCATAAAAAAAATAAATAAAGACAAAAGTGAGCTATATTATCTTACCATGGGTATTAAACAGTAAGAACAATACCGCTAACAACCAGATTGGTGGGCTGAGAAAAAAGAAAAAAATGAAGTTATTAGTTAATTTAATCAAAAGATGCTATTTTTTGCCCTACTCATGATTGGCATCTTTCTTAGCACTTAGTAATTTTCATCATGTGTTTTTTTTTTTTTAAAGTATAGAATTGGTTCCCAAATGCAAACCAGGTCAAGTATAGTCTATATTTCGTTTTAGAACCGTTTAACCATGTGTTTTTTTAGGATTAAAGACTATAGTACAAATTTATGATTCATTTATAATTATATATAGTTGGATTTGTGTTAAATTATTTATTAGATGGGTCTTACAGATCCACTCATTTATTTATTATTCGAATTCGTTAAGGCAAACCAAAATCCACTAGTTGTTTGCCAATTTTGCGTCATTCTGTCTAGAATTCTCAGGTGTATGATTGTTATCCAAGGACTGGTAAAAGGATTGGTGACTCAAATGATCCCTTACCTAATCCCTACAACTACTTTGAAGTCCTCTTCAAGTGATCTCTTGATGTACTTCTGGAAATTGAAATTAGTTCGACTTTGAGGAGCCAAATGTGCCTGAAAATGTTGAATTCAATTGAGCCATATGCTTATAATCAAAATAAAAAATAGAAAAATTGAGCCATATGCTAATAAGCATATACAACAATAACAATAGTCTTTTAGAATTGCACTCTAACATTATGAAAGATCACTTACAGTGATAAATCCATGGCGCAGAGTTAAAAAGTCAACCCTTGGAACTGATCTAATAAATTGTCTGAAGAAACACACCTACACATTTTAAAGTTTTTACTATCATTAGAAAATACTTTCATAGATAAAAAAATTACGTATACAACATAAGTCACAATACACTCAGAAGTTTCCCGTCTTATAAGCTCAAGAGAGATATTAAGAAATCAAACCTACCAAATGTGGACAGATGGTAATCTAGCATCAGGAGGTGTACGAGTAATATTTTAAATGTGAGGGGGTCTAAATGATTAAATGACAAATATTAGGAAATTTAAGTATAATTTATCTATTTAGTTTTAGACGGCAAACTAATAACTGTTAGTTTGAAGTGTACATTAATACAGTTTTTTATATTTGAGGGTACAAATTAAGATTTTTGGTACAAATTGAGATTCGAATGATTTTTGGGGGTACAATTTAAAATTAACCCTAAACTAAATTAAGGCTAATTGCACAAAACACCCTGGACTTTGAATCAGTCCCACATGACTACCCTCAACCATGAGGTGTTTCATCAAGTAGTTGATATAAAGAAGTACAACATGTGAGCTAGTTTTCTTACAGTCCAAAGGAGGATGGGTGAGCGGCTCCAGAAACTCAAGTGCCTTCGCCCGAATGACGTTTCTCTGGCAAACCTAAGTCTCTCCGGGTCTGCAAGACATTCCAAGTGTTAGTTTTATAAACTCTAATTTTTAAGGGTTATTTTTTTTTTGTATTTTTGGGTATTGAAAAGTTATGGTATTTGAAGTGATATATACCAGAAGTGTCTAGAATATTTTTGAGAAGTCTATTCATGTATTTGAGAGACTTATTCATGTATGGTTGCATGGAAAGTTGAACAGTTTTTTATTGGGGATAGCCAGCCATAAAGTGGCCAAATTTAGAGTGTTTTGGCTAGAAAAAATCAGTATAAAAGGGGCCGGAGTTACTGCCCAAAATAGAGAGTCTCTGTGCAGAAAAATAGAGAGGAAAAAGTGAGAAAAACAGTGTGTTTGCTGCCTGAAAAAAACAGCAGCTTGTTCATGAGCAGAAGCTCTATTTCTTTGTATTTTCTTGAGTGTTTATTGCTGAAAAATTCTGATAAGTTGCTCTCCATGTATTCCTTGATATTGTGATCATATTTGATGAAATATAGAGATGTTTCTTGAGTGAAATTAGTGTGGAAGTGGAGCAGTTTTTCATCCTCTATTTTTGTGCTCTTTAGTAGTTTTTTTTTTTTTTTTTTGCTTCTAATTCCCATCACCAAGGTCCATACATGAGTTATGAATAAATAAAATAACCTTTTGTCAACCGCTGGTTCAGACTTACACCGTTACACGTAGATTAGTTATAAGTTCAAATAACATATGATTAGAATATTCCACATTACCCAAAAAAACCCTTATTATCATAATATAAATGATTTTCTTATGGAATGAACGTAGCATGGAAAACACTAGGATTGCTCACATGACGGAAAATTACCATGTGAGAATTGATATTCAGTTGTCGTCGTGTCCATTTCCCATGCCTTCCACCTTCTCATCTATAATCAGGCAAAAATTCTCTCTTTATATATATATTAAGCCGAAAACACATACACACACACACATACAGATATGAGAGAGAGATAGAGAGAGAGAGAGACCTTTAATCTGCCTAAAGCCAATATGAGTATGCAATAAAGCACATGAAAAACAGCTAACACGAAGATGAATATGTGAAGTTGGTGGATGCCATCTTGCGAGACAAATGGAACTTTCTCCTGCAAGAAAAAAATGCAGCCAAACACAGCTCAATCTGAGGAGAATGATGAGGCGTGGTGTACGTGCCATCTTTCCTTATCAATTTAAACGTTCATAATAGATTGAACTATTTTATCACAAATTAGGAATAACCTATTGGTTGAGTGACATGATTGAGGTAATTCAACATTATCTCACAAATATTAATAGTGTGGTGACCACAATGAGATAAAACGTATATTTTGGGACCAATTCTGTATTTTATCCTCATTTTTTGTTATAGTCATTACTTTATGTTTAGATACCCGAATGACAGTTAATTAGCATTCATCTTTGGACGAATATTCCAAGAACAAGCACAAAAGTGCTAAAAAGTCCACCCCCCCAACACACACACACAAAAACCCCAGCCAAACAAAAGAAGAAATAAGATAGTATGCCAGCATTGACACAGGAACTCTCATGCAATTAGTATAAAGCTAGTTTTTTTTTTTCCATGACAGAAGCAAGAGAATATCTGTTCTTACCTTGGCTGCGCATTTGTCATACACAGCAGCGGCTAAAACACGACGAGGACTGTCACCGGAGTCTAGAAAAGCTAGAAGTCTTCTTCCTCCTTTGTCATCGGAATACTTTTCCTCCACTTTGTACTTGGTGTCTTCTTGCTTCTTGTCACATGAATGCCAACTATTTCCAACTGATTTTGGGATACAGAATTCTGAAATGGGCCCCTGTCCAACTGTCAGGAGCAATGAGACAAACCCCAGCAGCATGAGTTCTGGAAGAGAGAGAGAGAGAGTAAGTTTTGATAAACCGATGACAACCTATGTTTTGGATCAAATATGGAGAAAACCAACCAACCAGATTTTATCTTTTCAAGGGCTCTTTTGTTTCTCTTTGTCAGCCACTGCATGCAAAACAAGTGGACATTGAGACTCGGCACTGAAAAATCCAGAAAGAAAGCTAGGTCGGAAATTTTTTCGCTGAGTTAGATACATTTTTCTGGCAAAGCCAAGTGATGTACCTAATCAATGAATTGTAACTACTCATCGATTTGTCCGTCAAATTTTTCAGAAAACCAACTTGTATTTTTTAACAGGCTGTGAGAGTTTCTCATTAGATGTGCACACTGCATCACAAGCGGTGTATTTAATTCACTTGAAATTTTCTCAAGCTAGCTCAAAATGGAAAACATCTATGGTGGTAAACTTATACCTTTCCAATTAAGTGGATGATGTGTTCAATGATGATTGATGTTGCAACCAGCACAAGACAGACAACTGCAACCGCCCACGTGGGCGTTTCCTGCAGAGATCGCTCTCCTTTGGCTGCCATCTTTATTGCCTGTGTGTTCTTCGTATATATGAAGACTCAAAATAAGTTAAAAATTTTCAAGCATGAAATATGGGAAGCCTTCAGGTTCAAAACTATCGGTTTCAATTATCAAAACGCAATTAGCCGAGAGAAAATTTTGTGTACGAGCCTAGAGAAATTGTTTTTTTTTTTTGGGGGGGGGGGGGGGGAGTTGAAAGAAGGAGAGAAGTGATGAACTCATTAAAGTGAGGCTTCTAAATGATTTATAGACTTGTGGATACAGGAAGGCAAAGAGGGAAAGTAAGATTTGACTTCTGACTTGTTGAGAGGAGCAGGGACTAAGAGAAGATGACGCTGATTAGAAAATAATTATTAAAAAAGGGGTCCTAAGAATAATGCGATATGTTGGTAATTTTGTTACAATTTTTATTGATTTAAAATTTGAATTAGCTTATCATATTAATAACACATCATTTCGTATATTTTTCCATCAATCTAGCATTACATATCACATATGGAATTCTTTTTCGGGTCAAGATAAATATATAATGATATATGTTTTTCATAGCCACTTAGTGTTTAAAATTTATCAAAAAAAAGTTAAAAAAAAATTCAAAGAGAATTACAGAAATAGAAATATAGAATGTAGGTATAGAATTGTGTTTTTTTTTTTTTTTGGGGGGTGTGGGGGAGAGAAAGGGTGTCAATGTTTCTCATATTTTTTAATGTACACAAATATGTTTAGATTACTGTTAAGAAAAATAACACTAGGTGATAGATAAACCTCAGTACAAATCGTCTAGGAATGGTTATAGAAAAATGCCTTATGCTCATTTTGATAGATGCATATGTATGTGTGTGTGAATATATTGAAGAATTTAAATGTATGGTAGGGTTTTGTTAGAACCAACAACGGGACATACATAGGTGGCTTAGGCGACTTAATTTCCTGTTTTTGTCCAGACATAATGCATGGCTCTTTTTGTCCTCCCCCCCCCCCCTCCCCCTCCTCAAATTTTGTTATTAGTGAATTATTTATTGAGTTTTTTCCTATATTAAATAATTCTTTTGAAGATACCATTTGGTAAGATTACAAATCCCACTTTCCAAAAAATCCCTATTTCATTGCCGAAAGCCTGGGCAAATCAAGACAAAGATGAGAATAATACAGTATATTTGTTGTTGACCATGCATTCTCAAGATTCCTGGTTTTAGTGTTTTTTCTTCATTTGCTTTTAGTGATCAAACAAGCAAATTAAATTTTATTTTGGACAGATCAGAATGCCTTTGAGCTATTCCAAATCTGTGTGAAAATGTCGATGAATTATTGACCCATGTTTCACCTTTATGAGCTCTCCTCCGCATGAACCCCCAAGAAGGTGCTAATAATAATCACAAGTTTTAGGATAAGACTAGGTTATGTTATGGGAAAAAGAATTTGATATCATATCATAAGTAATATGTAGTTTTAGATCTTAGTTTGATGTATTTGTAGCCATCGATTGTAAAAATAATAAAATAAAAATCATAATTCTTGATGATGATGCATAAATGGAGTTTGTACACCACCTGTCAGATGAGTAGTAATAATTGCAGTAGTAAAGTAGAGAGATACAGAGACACAAGTAAGACAAAGATTTATAGTGATTCGGTCAACGTGACATATGTCTACTTTGAATGACTAGGGTCGTCAGGGTATTTTATTACTTAACATGCGTATCGAGAGCAGAGAGTTACAAGCTGAGAGAGATAAGAGAGATGTGTTCGACTGAATGTGATGCCCTGTAAGTGTTGGCGGGACTTACAATTTATAGTTGTCTCCCAACAAATTGAGACGACTTATTAATAACTACGTGACTAATTTGGTGGAGTTGACGCCCCTCTTCTCAATGGGCGAGGCAGTTACGGTGCTCCCCATAAGATTCGGTCAAAAATGACGTGATAGTCAACTCTTTCCAAGGTGGCGTGGATGAGGCTCTTGGATGACTCTACATGCTCCCTTGGTTATGTAGCTCTTCTTGTCCTACTGAGCTTGACCGGGTGTGAACCCTTTAGGTTGAACTTCTTGGATCGCTCTCAAGTTAGGCTATTAATTTAAAATGTGTTTACAATGTGAATTGGACTCTTGGGCTTCACCTATCAGTTGATACGATTTTATTAGATGAAAAAAGAAGTATCATACTGAATGTTAAACCCATTCTTAAGCTGGTAGTTTTCTTTGATGCCAGGATTAAATAAAGTGCGACCCTTACGGACTGCCATGACAGTGGGGGCCAGTTCTAGATGAATATTACAGTTTCGTAGTACCACCTAGTTTAATTGCCGGATGATCAAAACAGGCAGAGAACTTGACTGAGTAAATTATATATATGATCATGGAATGAATTGTTTTACTAACTTAAAAAAAAAAAAAAATTACAACCCTCCTCTTGTAAAGATTAAGCATAGTGCAGCTTAGGATGTGACTATTTTTTTTTTCATTGTTTGTGTGGGGTTTGATGGATTGATGTTCACACGAGAGGTTCTAATGATTTTAAGTCAAGAACAGAGAAAGGTACTATAAATTTGTTGTGATAGCAAAATTTGTTCACACTTGACACAACAACAATGATATAACAATAAAGTCGAAGTGTATTTTAATTAGTTATATTTCACTTTTTTTTTTTGACGTGTTTAAAGTAATAACATGTTTGTGATGTTTAGGTTGCACAAATAACTTGAACGTTAAATTGAGATTAGAGAAAGACGAATATCAATATGATCTTGTCGAAACTGACTCATGGTGTGTGTAATGGAGCTTTATCACACAAGAAGGGGAAGAAAACACCATCTCACCACCCAAACCCCAAAGACCCAAAAAAAAAAAATCCATAACAAAGGAAAGGTAAAGCCAAAATAGAGGGCTACCTGAATGAAGAAATGGAGTGATTGACCTACCACCACTAGTCTCCTAGAAAGCTCCCACGATGCTCTAATCTTTTTATGGGTGAGATATAAATATGCATATTTTGAGTTCGAGTTCCTTAAATGCATAAAATTTAAGTTTAATTGCTTCATGCTGTTTAAAGTTCAAAATACTCATGATTGAAACGATTCTTGTTAAAAAAATAGAAGTTCTGGGAAAAGTAAATGTATATGAAGCCATATGAATGAGAAAGATGGATTCCCTAATTCAAATTTGATTATAAAAACTTCAAATCCCAACTCAAACGCTGCTTGATCTAAATCAGGTTGCGATTTCTTGATTAACTACAAACTCATTACTAAAATTATCAAAGTTTATAATGACCTGCTCAAGTTACCCTACAATATATGCAATAACGTCTTTGTTTCGAAAAAAACGAAAGGGGAAAATAAGAGGGACTTCAAACTATCTGGATTTGGTGAGCAGTACTAATAACTTCAAAAAAAAAAAAAAAAGCAAGCTTGGTAAGATGTCATTATCATATAAAATCTTCATCCATACTTCTTGCTTTTCAATGTAATTTACATGTTCATGTCAATTGTAGACTTGTACCATTGCTATAACCATTAGTAATATGTGGGGACAAGACCTCATAAACTTATCAACGTCAAGCATTGAAATTAATTTCTGTGTTGCATCGTAGATTTCACCCCATTAATTAAATCCCAGACCTCACATAACAGAGACCAGGTCAGTGTTCATTACCCAAATGAACTGTCTCATTGACTCCAATAGTGTTCTTGATTTCTTTCTTTTCTCTCTTCACTGACCTCGCCTACTTCGTTAGAATATGACCGGCCTTGACGTATAAGATTGTTAAATGAAAATAATCTCTCATGATGAAATTGTGAACGCTCAACTCTCCCTAAACCGAGAGTGACAGAGTCTCTTAAACTTAATGCACCCTTTACCTACTTAATTTTTTAGAACTAATTGAAGAAATGCAGCATTTTGATATAGATACCAATTGGAATGCAAGACACCGTTTGATGTATGGTGGACGGATAGCAAGGAATTCTTCGTTTGAAAATTGCCTGATTTCTTATTAAAAAAAAAGGTAGTATTAACAACAGATCTGTCATAAGGAACGGATGGAAACTTCGTTCTAGCTTTGTATACTGTTGCTCAAATAAACTTATTCCAATGTTCATTGGTCGACCACTTATATTTCGTCACATGACAGATTGTTAAATTCAGGACTCCATCCACCCATATTTGAAGTATGTTCATCAACCTATATGTAATTTACTTAACACACAATACCAAATGAATAAATGGTGCTTAAAACAAAACACTACAAAAATCCTTACACTTTTATGTGACATTCTCGTGTGTTTTGACCACACCTTGTTCATTTACAATCTCCTTGTAATCCTACAACATGCAAAAAAAAGTCAGTCTTCCTCAAAGTTAGAAAAAAAGTGTTGAATGCAAGCTATTAATATTAGTGTGATTGCAAAAAAAAAAAAATGTCTTAACTTTAGCACCCTCACT